AAAAAAAAAACACATCTACTATTACGGAATTGTTTTGCTCCATGAACATACTATCGTCTTCCAGGTCAGTACTGCATTCATCATCACTGTGCCCTGCTTGGCCCTTAGTGAACTTGATTTCCTCCTGGGATCCTCTGGACAGGACTGACTTAACAGAGGGCTGCTGCTTTTCCTCTTGTGAATTGGACTGAAAATCCACACTGTCTTCATGGATGTTATTCATCACGGCACAAGATCCTGACAACCTCAAGTGTATGTTTGGAAGACAACATAAGAGGAGCAGACAGGTAGGATTCACTGCTGCAGGCTATTAGACTGTTTAAGCAACATTGTGTAATTTTTGTAAACTCCTGTGCACTGCCACTTTTTAGGCTTTAGCATCTATATGAGTGCAAAGAGCTGCACATGAAAGTCTTTACACTGAATTTATTAGGGATGTGCATGATTTACAATATTCAGATGAGTTCTATTTAACTGCCCTACAATAAAAGAAGAAAATGTGATCAACTATGCAAAGTACCCAGACTCGACCGACAAAGTGAGATGAAAGTCTAAACATGTACAGATATTGACAACTGTCAGAAAGGTTATGTGTGGCACCCCTTCAAAAATATATAAAAATGGGGCACAATTAAAGCTACCGAGACTCTACCACCACTATCCACAGTAGCAGAGAGCACACTGGGCTGTGGGCAATCTTTAGACAACAATCATCAGTGAAAACTGAACTTGATCTTGAAATATCTTTGCATGAAAAACCCACTCCTGGTATTTCCATCAGCTTAAATATTCAGACTTCCTGTCTTCCCCAACATTTAAAAATCCTGGAAACGCCCCTGGCTATGCACTACTTCCATGAGCAATGTGAACCTGATAGAGAAACCTGCAGAAACAACACACGGATAGTTTTACATGAAGTTTAAAGATCTACTGAACTTAACATGACTTACTTTACAGCGCATTTATTTAACAGTGAGGTAGAAGAAGAGCTGCCAGCTAACTAGCTACCTAGCTACTACTGCATTTTATCAAGCAGTTAACAATTAGACCAGCAGAAGAGGGGAAACACTGTTTTATTCGGAATTAAAACAAATATTTACTTTTTTATATAAAATCCTATTTGTCAGACCTTTATTATTGTTCATAGCAGAGGAATTATCCGCCTACCTGGGAAAAAAAATCGTCGTTTTCTAGTGTTAAGAAGATGATCCAACGGCTGATCAGGAGAAGGAAAGTTATGAAAGATCCGAGGGCGGCCGGAAAATTATCGATAAAAACAAATGAAGCACACTGGAAACGGCCATTTCCATCTTAAAAAAAAAGAAAGAAAGAAAGAAAAATACCCTATATCAATTAATAATGGTTTAAAGTATGGTAATAGTGAAGACTTTGATTCGTTTATATAGATAAGCACTAGATGGCGCTGTTCACCGTAATCCCTATCGAGATGAGACCGGATGTGGTTGTAACGTGGGAGAGACCAATGACTGTATAAAGCACTCCTTTATACAGTCACTGGGAAAGACTACCAATTCTACCAAATGGGGTAAAATATAACCACAAATATGAGTTGTTCTTTTATTGCAATAATATTGCAATAATCTCCCACACCCTTTTTTAAAACATGCGGCACATTGTGACGTCGACGTGTTTTTGCTTCTTATTACTAATTGTTAACACTTAAGTGCAAAGGCTGTAGGAAAGGATCACCACGTATTTGACTCTTAATGTTCTCACAGAGCTTTGATTTGATTTTGTTTATAGTAGACACGCATGTGGGTACTTTGTTTCAAATTTGAGAAGTTTAGCTCAGAACAATACAGGCAAAATGTTACAAACATACTCCTGTCATTTGGTACAGCCTCTGTAGCAAAGAAAAACTTGTTAACAATTTATTTTTCAAATTACAAACACTTGAGGTTTTATTTATTTTGTAGCTCATACCAGCAGGTTTTAAAGGGAATTCTGTTTGATTTTCATCTATAGTGTTTTGGAAAAGTCTTGAGCCACTCCTCATTTCATGCTTCCAAAGAGCCAGACTCTTCATTTTTAATCTGGTCTTGAGCAATATTTCTTCAGGCTTTCTGGAGATCTTTCATTGTTTGGCTGCTTTTAAACTCATTCTTAGTCCAGTCCTTCCACCGGACATTTTCAGAAGAACAGAAGAATTCTTTTAGGTTTGTTAAGGTACTAAAACAAATAAACAAACAAAACAACAACAAAAACCCTACCTAACCAACTACTTCGAGAGATGAACCAGTGTTGTGTTTACATATAACAGACAACTTAGCAAATATTCCATTTTAATGCTATCTTTAGGCACTTGGTTATTAGCAACCTGACAGGTGTAACCACCAACAAGGCAATTCCCAAAGAGCTATAACTTTATCTTGGCATGGTGTGCAGTGCTGAGAAGTGGAGGGCAAAAGAAGTAGCAGGCCTTAAAAAA